CGATGGTCGTTTACGATCTGCCGGCAAACGGAGAAATACGGCTGTCGTTACGATGGGCGTTTACGATCTGCCGTCAAACGGAGAAATACGGCGATAAACGATGACTTTTATGGTGATCGTTTACGTACTAGTGAAAACGATTATTATTACGACCGTCGTTTTCATGCCATTTTTCATCGTTTTGAAAGTGTCCTAAAATCATCGTTAGACACTTTCTAATAATCTATAATCGTTTGATCATTCCATATTGAAAAAAAATCATATTTTTTTATTCAGATTCCTTTCACAATCTAGTTCAATCGTAAGTATTGTATTTAAATGAATAAATTAATTATTTTTATTTACATTTATCTCAATGGAATATTTACTAGCAAGTATTTCATTTAAATAAATAGATATTTCTTTTTATTTAGGTTTATCTTATCCATATAGTTAATAGTAAGTATTTTGCTTAGATATATTTTTTTTTTTTTAGATTTTTCTTATTAAACTATTCAACAGTAAGTATTCTATTGAGGTAAACATATATTTTTTTTTGTTTAAATTTATCTCAATTAGCCATTTAACAGTAAGTGAAGCAAGTTGAGAAGAGAGAGAACGCGAGACAAGAAAAAAGAAAGAAGAAAAGAAAAAAAAGAAAGAAACTAGTAGAGATAAAAAGATACAAGACATACTTTACAATTGCTTCAAGTTAATATACATGTGAGCGAAAAGAATGATAAGGTATGAATAAAGGCAATGAAAATAACAATGAAAAAGGAGATCGGTGATTCATAACGACATCTTTTGTCTTTCTTGTTTTATCGTTGTGAAGTGAATTTATGAATATATTCATTATTCCTTTTTTTTTAGATGAGAGAGAACAACTCGTATGTTAAGTCATCGGGCTCACTCAATGCAAAAATACAACTCCTATGGTGTTGGCTTTTGACAGTTATGGTGGATATATGTGATATTTATATATGGAGTGATTTAGGTAATTTGTGTTCTTTTTAAAATGTTCGTACTGTTGTTTTTGTACTCCGTCAAATTCTCTCCAGTTGACGAGTGTATGTTGCGCCCTTTTTGCTAGTCTGTTTGAAAAAATACTGCTTTTTCTAAAACCCATAGAACGATGCCAAGTTTTATTAGGTGATTTAGCAATTTTATAAGCTTGCCATGATTGTTGGAATAAGAGCGCATCCGCTACTTTTTCTAAATGTAAACTGAGTCGGCTCCAATAAGAATAAATATAGTTAGGAAGACTTTTTTCACCTCTTAAAACCATAGTTGCTAGGTCGTCCCATCCTTCGAGCGAGTATACTATTCGTAACCTCGAGCAGAAAACATGTTCAATTGGCCTCTTTTGGATCTCGGTGAAATAAAACCAGGAGCAGAAGAGCCAGCAGGAATGTAGTAAGGCATACGCCGAAAAGATACGCCGACGTAGAGAGGTATATGGTGTTGGTATGATGTGATAGATTAATCGAAGTCCTCTGTAGATTTTTCGAATTTTTCTCATTCTTTCATTGATGTATGTGCCCCAGTTGAGTTTCGTTGAAATATATACTCCTAGATATTTAAAGGATTTAACGTATTCAGTTTTTTGATGTTTATATTGGACCGTGGAGAATTGAGAGGAGACGACATTGTGGACTAGTAGTGATAAGCAAACATTTCCTCTGCTAACAAAGCGACTGAAAAGGAGAGAAAGATAAATGAAAAAAAAAGACCATCCTTGACAACAAATAAACTAGTATATGTTATTATTTTCTTATTCAAACGCAGATTCATCACTATCTTCAACAATTTCTGGAGTTTCTTCACGTACTTTTTTAGCTTTAGACATTATTAAAGTTAAATAGATAATCACAAAACGTATGATGGATATGATATTTGTGAAATGAAGATTTGCAATAATTATTTTCCTCCTTCTGAAGATAGTTTCTTTTTCAAACCTAGATAAGTTTATTTATTTCATTGTTTGGATAATAATATTCCATTCCCATATGATGAGAATTAATTAGCAATACATGTTTGTATATTTCTTACTACATTTTTTCCCTTAATTGACTTAACTTGTATATGCGTATATCACAATGAGCCTTATCCCCATTTCGCTTATGGGCCACGAACATGTATAAAAAGTGGCCACAAATTAGTTCATATGTTGCCGAGGACGACCTTTTTTCTTTCATTTATCCTTTTTCTTCAATCACTTTGCTAGCAGATGTCAGCAAGGCGATTGAAAAAAAAATGATAGATGAAAGAAAAAAGGCCATCCTTAGCAACGTATGAGCTAATTTGTGGCCACTTTTTATACATGTTCGTGGCCCACAAGCGAAATGGGAATAAGGCTCATTAACCGAGTTTAAATGTTCTGTTAAAGAAAATAATCAGGCGCATTTGCTATACAAAAATGAATGCTATTTTATTTCACCATTTCTTATAAACTACAGTTTAACTACATATTCAATTTGACACAAGCTATTTCCTATAAACTTAATTCATCTATAATACGTTTCATCAAGTTTTCAAGTACTTTTTAAAGAGTTTTTATTATGTCAAGCTACAGATGACTGATGTTCAAAATAAAAGGAAAGTCTCAAGAAAGAATGAGACAAATATCATTATCACGTTTTCAATGTAATAAAGTTGAACGAAAGTCTTATCACGAATTAAAAAACTCATTGTTGTTGGAGAAAGTGAATAGTCTATGGCTAAAGAATATTGAATAGAAATAGGAAAATATACTTCGTGTATACATATACATACATCAAAAGAAACACATAATACGTAAAAATGTAATTAAAATAAATCAGTTATGCCGTGGCATGAGAACGGCAGAGTGGCAGAGCGTCATAATGACCGGCTGAACGGCAAATATTTTGAAATACTCTCTAAGTATGTTGTTTGAATAAGTTTTTTTTTTTCATTTAGATTTCTCTCATTGAAATATTTAACAGTAAGTATTTTATTTAAAAACATATATTTTTTTTAAATTTAGATTTATCTCAATGAAATATACATAAGTAAGTATTTTATTTAGACAAATAAATATTGTTTCTTGTGTTTACGGTAGGTAAGAAAGGAGCGAAATATTGTGCTTCTCTTCACTGAGAACAGACGGCAACAAATACATAAAGTTGTAAACGAGAAAAACCGGTGTAAATAGAACATTGTTTGGCGAGAATACTACCATAATACTACTCATCGTTACTCGCCGGAAACGACCTTAAACGGTGTCGTTTACGTTCCGAGAAAAAACGATCCGTAATCCGAGCTGACGGAAAAACGATCAAAAAACGGCGGTCATTTTTCATCGTTTAGGGCAGTAATCACGTCGTTTTTTCACCGTTTTAGGCAGTTTAAGACGTCGTTTCAGACGGTCGGAATGATCGACCTAGGATATGGAAGAAGAAAACATATTACTAGGGTATGAGTGTGCTTGTGGATGAGTATAGGTATGTGAGTAGATCCCCTTCTCACACTCTTCCATACCCACATTCACACCCTCGTAAATTATAATGTAATTGATGTCAGATCAAGTTGAATAAGACAATTTAGATTTTTAGTTGAAACATAGAGTTGAAAGAATAACTTTAATATCGAGTCCTAATGCATCAAAGTTGAAAAAAGAGTTGTCCCAATCATTCATTCGTTTGTAAGACAGTTGGTATTAATTTCTCATCGTTATGTCTTAGAATATGGACAATGAGAATCTATTGTTCGCGAATAACATTTACTAGAATGAGTTCGATTTGTTCCTCAAGCACAAACATGACATTGATCAATTTCGATGAAAATTCATAGGGTTTACCGAGTAAAATCTTGATAATTATCGTAACATATAGAAATTTTTGGTATGCATATAAATGAAGTGTATACCTCCACCCACACTCTCAACGACAGAATAGAAGTTTTCGATTAAATAATTATACATACTATACCCGCATTGGAAATGAATGATTATAATTTAAGCGTTAAACTAATTAGTAGTTAAGAGTTTGATACAATCTTTTTAGGCTATTTTTCAAATGATTGATATAAGTTTTCTGAAGTTAGATGAATTGATTTCATTTGAAATATTAAGGTTAGTTGACATTAGAATATAGTGCTATTTTTTTGTAATTTTCATCATGATGGTGTTAATAGATTATTTTGAATATCACATGAGAAAAAAAAGGCATCTGTCATCACACTATTAGTAGTGCTTAGTAACAGCAAATATATTAATATACATATATCACTCGGTCAACACAAGCGGTACAGCTTACTTTTTCAATTTTCTTCCGACCTTATTGTCCTTTGGTTTCATCTATAATAGAAATGTATCGGTTGCTTTTTTAACTACTCGTAAAAACTTAATTAATTAAAAATGAATATGGATAAGACAATAACATACACTGTCGCAACATAGATACGTAATACAAATGAAAAAATTCTAATGGACATTCCCTCATTACATGGCTAACTGCTAGTTCATTTTTCACAGAGATTATGCATATTTCCCTCATAAACTCCAAATGCCATGTATTGTCGTT